AGAAATGTGAAACAGCTCCATCTCTGTTTTAGTCAAGTAAACTGAAACGGAGGGAGTAATATTTGACATCATGATGTAATAGCGGAGTGAGAATACTAGATTTTACATGTACTGTGCTACAAATGCTATCTTAGCTGAACTGTTACTTGTGTTAGTGGTCGGGTAAAAAAATGCCATCACGCGTAGGTATTCTAATACGATCAGGTATTGTGAATTCCGAGTATATTTGGAAATCTTGATCGATTCGTGTCATCAGCGTCCAAATCAACAGAGCACTCTGATTGGCCAATTAGGATTGCAGTTCAACGCGGATCTTCGCCACACCGCACTGCTGCACTGCTGGATCGCTTCTTTTGCAGCATCTTTCCTTGCAGCCCTGGATCCCCAAGGACACACGTACACTTGGTACTATTGTCAATCTTGTGTTATTGATGCTGGTAGAAACGTCAACGATTTGCTAAACCACTTTGTTACTGTTTAGCAAGATGGAGGCAGCAGCTACTCGGCGACACGCCAGTCCCAACACAATTTTCCACTGTTTATACGGTTATTACTATCTTGGGTATTCCAGGAAAGAACTGGCGCACATTTACAACAAAACACAGCAGACAATGACCCAGCAATAGATGCGTTCACAACGTCGAGAGCAATTTGTGTCGAGTGGTGAAGATCATTGACGTGTTCTTGGACACGAGAATCAGTAGCCGCTAAGAGTCGCAAAACACTTGAAGGTGGCGGAGCACGTATCTTATCGTCCAATGTGGAGCGATCCTGACTGCGAACCACCTCAGTAGCCCACATACACCACACCACAGCTTCACCTGTGTATGTGGCGCCCCACGACCTCGCGAAGCGTGACTTCAGCAGCCTTCCAAAACGCTTGGCGATCTTGTTTTCTCCCGAGGCTGACGCCATAATCATAGATAAGAAGCGTGGCAGTCTTGTCATGCATTGATTGAAGCCAAGTGTTCCAGTCCTCGTTGGATTTTGAGCTGTCGACAATGTGCTTCTTCACCTTGAACACCATGAACTTGGACCAAGAGTCAATTGCAGCTTGCTCGACAGCCCAAACTCCATCGGACTTCATGGCCCTCCCTTTAACATGAGAGCTGAATTTCTCCCAAAATTTCTCCAGAATGTCCTGGAGCGAAGTTCCACCTGCTACAAAGGGGTCAAGAGAGTCACCAGAGCTGTCCCGCTCGCCTACTGTCTCCTTCACGATGGGCTGCATGACCAAGCGGTAAATGTGAGAGGATGCTGGTTAGTACACCTCAGTTGACGCTGGACTACGGCGTCGTTCTGGGTACGGGGATGTTCGCACTCGCCCCTGAGGTGTCTGCGTTGGCGATGTCGACTCCAATTTGAACAATGATACTTCCTCTGTCCAGAAATATAAGGCCACCTTTTTTCTAAATTAAATGTTAGTGCTTACACAACGATTTGATCAACTTTGATTCGTTCAAATGAACCACCAATCGGCGCGTAGCACGTTACAGTTTGATTCGTTGTAATAGCCCCAGTGCTTCTCGAGATATGGACGTCTGAAGAAATCATTTTTCATTTTGGACCAGCAACATGACTGTTTTAGCGCTTCCTGACCCTACCAAGCGCTAGAACCTGGCACCGAAAGAGCGAGAGAACGCTCTGTCGCTAATGTACGGCGTCGCGACGAACATGACAGTACCAGCCAAGACCTACGCCCGCGTTTCGGCTCTCCTCGAGTGTTCGGAGCGCCAAATTCGTCGTCTATGGAAGAAAGCTCGTGATGCGGTGAAGAACGGCAAGTTGTGCGATGTGGAGAGCGGTAGGAAGGGGCGCTGTGGCAGAAAGTCTTGGGTAGAGGGCGAATTCCCCCGAGAGCTCGCAGTGAAGATCGCACTTACGCCGCTCCATCTGCGAACTAACTTTCGAACTTTAGCGGAGCAACTCGGTATCGCTAAATCTACACTGCATGTGTACTTACAATCTGGGTTGTTTCGGAGTCATCATGCTCGACTAAAACCTCAACTCACGGATGAACAGCGCGTCGCAAGGATGAAGTTTGCGCTAAAGTTTGTGCAACCTTCTGCTCGTGGCAGACATAAATTTGTCTCTCTTCTAGATTACGTACATTTGGACGAAAAATGGTTTTTCTTTTAAAAAAAAAGAGAACTCTAGCTATTACTTAGCTCCAGACGAACCCGCCCCCCACATTACCGTGCACAACAAAAACTTTGTGGTGAAGGTAATGTTTCTCGTCGCGATTGCGCGCCCGCGGTGGGTGTCAGAGCAGAACACGGTCTGGGATGGCAAAATAGGCACATGGCCTTTTGTGGTGTATGAACCTGCGCAGCGAAAGAGCAAGAACAGAGCCGCTGGTACGCTTGATCTCAAAACATATACTGTAGATCGTGACATTTACCGTGCTTGCCTGGTCCACTCGGTCATCCCAGAGATCAAGCGACTATGGCCGTCTGGGAAGCGTTTCCACCTTCAACAAGACAATGCAAGGCCGCATGTCTTATTAGACGATGTGGCCGTGATGGAAGCCTGTAGTGACAAAGGTTGGGACATGATCCTCACTGCTCAACCCGCTAATTCGCCGGACTACAATGTGCTAGACCTGGGCTTCTTTGCGTCGCTTCAGACACTGCAGCATCGCAAAAACTCCCGCACGATCGAAGAGTTAGTGAACAACGTCGATGATGCTTTCTGTGAGCTTCCTTACGAGAATATAGACCGCGTATTCATGACGCTGCAGTCGGTATTCGAGGCTTTCCTCAAGGTAGACGGGGGTAATAGCTACCGAATTCCGCATTAGAACAAGATGAAGCTACTAAATGGCGCTGTACATGGCTTGCTTCCTCAAAAGCTTGACTGTGATTCCGTAGTTTACGAGAATGCGAAGGGTAGACTAAGTTCGGTTGTTTGTTGCAACCCTCGGAGTGGTTCCTGCAACCTTAACTTAAAGTTGTTTTAGTCGTTTTGAGACATGTATGGTTGCTGTATCCACGTTTCAAAAATTTCACGCGAATCTATTTTCTCTAAACTACCATTTTGCTTAGTTACGAATTTCAGGCGATCATTCTAAGTACGCACTGCTGAGCGCCTCACATTTTCTGGGCTGGTTGACGAAGGGAGAATTCTGGCGAGCTGCGGGTCGATCATGGAGCCAAAAGGGGCTTCGGAAGCGCAGAAGCAGACCCCGGTACGATGCACAGAAGAAGCGGCACCTACGCGCAAGACAGGGAGTGCATCATCGCACGGTAAGAAGATATTGTGAGAAAGTTGTTGACGATAATATTTAAGTTTTGTATTCGCATATTACAGGGCGAGTCTTGAGAAAGCAGGCAG